TGCGGTGGCCGGGAGCGGCCACTGCACTCCAGTCTAGGGCGACAGAGTGAGACTCCAACTCAACCCCCCCCAAAAAAAAAAAAAATAGAAGCTAGCTTGATAAGCCCTGATACACAGCTCCATACATAGCTCCAGTGATAGACTTGTCTTTTTATTACTAACTTCAGGCATTCTATTAAGATTTCCTAAAATATACCTTTATGTGTATGATATTAATAAGAATGATCACTTAAAAACTCATTTGTGCTGGGTGCGGTGGCATGCATCTATAATTCCAGCTATAGGAGGCTTAGGAGGCTGAGGCAGGAGGACTGCTTGAGCCCAGGAATTCAAGAACAGTCTGGGGAATATAGTCAAATTCTATCTCAAAAAATAAACCAAAAAAAACAACTCACCAAAAAACTCTTTTGTCTGGTACTTCATCCTTTATAAAGTGGTTTTTACTAAAAATTGATTAGAAGAGCTTTGGTAGATGGTGATCTAGGGTGATCAAATGGGAATTCTGCTGGTTTTCTGTTTTATTTTTGTTTTAGAAATTCCAGATACCAACACTGTATCATTTCTTTTGTGGTGATGAGTTTCTTTAGAGAGAAAACTTCTTGTCTCCTTCCATGAAAAAGTCTGGCGATCATTTTTCTGAAATTTGATCGGGGAAATGGAGTGTGGAGATCTTAACAATCATGTATGCAGTCTTTTTTTAGTATGGCACTTGCACTAAGGTTAGGTTCTGTCTCAAATTATCTGAGTTAAGATTTTATTCTTGTGTAAAATGTTCTAGTAGTCCATGGGTGGTATGGTGGTTCTGTGAAGTTCATTGGGCTCAGATTCTTTCCAGCTTTCTGCACTATAAGACCTAGAGTATGGTCATTATTCTTAGTTCCAGATTGCAATCATACCAAAGTTCCAGATGGTAAGATCAGAGGAGGGCAGAGGACTCAACCTCCTGAATGTGTCCTAGAAATTGTCCCATAGTACCCTGCTCATTTGTTAGTATGGAGGAGGATGGAGGATCTGAGAACTTGAAGGTTTCTTTCAAGGATTTTCTTTTTCCAGCCTCACGTTGTACCTATCTTCAGAGGTACCTAATACTTTTTAATTCAGATCTTTTTCTGACATCTCTGGTGTGATTTGGCTTTTGCTTTGTTGGTGTCCTTTCCTCTGAGGCATTTAGATTTTGCTTTCTCTTTTTCATTCATTTACTGTTCATCTTTTATAAAATCTTGTTTTTTGAGTTGTGAGTCTTACTCTGTTACCCAGGCTGGAGTGCTGTGGTATGCTTATGACCACCCCAACCTCCACCTCCTGGGCTCAGGTGATCCTTCCACTTCAGCCTTCTAAGTAGCTGGAACCACA